TCATGAACAGGTCCACAGGCAAACCCACTTCGGCCGACCCAAGCACACTGCACAGTGGCAAGCAAGACAATACCAGAATTTCCTTTCCTAGCAAAGAGTACTATGGTCTAGTCACTGTTTGCAGAGTAGTGTTTGCTTTAACACAGAAGCAGAGAGAGTGAGGAAACTGGTTTGGCTGGTTTGCTGGGTGGGAGAGAACACAGAAAAACGTTTCAACCAAACAGTAAAAGAGCTTCTCAAACAGAAGGCACCAACTACTCCAGGGACTTTAAGGTTTAATATTCACTGATCACTTGACATACCCTATGATTTGGGTACTATTCTGCCCATTTTACAGATGGCAAAACTGAGGTTTATAAAGTCCTTTGGCCAGTGTCATTCAGCTGGCAAGGGGCATTACCTGTATTTCAACCTAGGCAGTCTGACTCAAGAACCTTCTAAATGTTGGGAAGATGCCACCAGGGCCTTGGGGGTAAGTGGAGGACTGGAGGTGGATTAAGAAGAAAAGGGAAGAGGAAAAGTGCAGAAAGAGAGGGAATCTAAAGCCCTCCCAACAGTTAACAAGCATAAGCTGAGGTATATAAATGGGAAACTTAGAAACAAAAAGGGCACCATGAATTTCTTTTTAATTGATCAAAGACGAAAAACACTTAAAAATGACTAACTGCCCTTCCATTTCCAGATTCAGATGTGAGGTTTCCTTTCTCTGCCCTCTGCAGCTTTCACAGTGAAGCACTCAGTAGTACACTGTGTCCCTGGGACACACTTATTGCCCCATTCCAAAAGCCACAAACCCAATTCTTCCCTGCCCATTTATAATCAACATCTAAGGCTGGCTTGAGGCGAGGGTAGGACAAAGATAAGCCAAGGTATGAGGGATAGTCAATATTTATTCATTCATTCATTCATTTATTCAAAACGATATTTGAGTGCCTACTCTGTCCCTAAGAGAGATGAGCCACCATTTAGTGACTCTTATTTCTTTATATCTGCTTTACTCATTACTGTAATCCCAGGGTCTAGCCCAGTGCTGGCACTCAGTAGGCACTCATATACTATATTTCCCCATGTATAAGATGCACCCTTTTCTGAAAAATTTGGGGTCTAAAAACTGGGTGCATCTTATACAGTGGTTGTAGGTTTTGTGTGGGTTTTTTTTACTTGCATTTCCTGCTTTTTTTGCGCTCATGCAACCACTGTATAAGATGCACCCAGTTTTTAGACCCCAAATTTTTCAAAAAAGGGTGCAGCTTATACATGGGGAAATACAGTATGTTGACTGAACGAATGAATGAATATGCATGCTTAATTCTCACAACAAACCTGTAAGTATTACTGCCTCCCATCTTACACATGGGGAAGCTGAGGCTCATAAGAAGGTAAAGTGATTTACCCAAGGACACACAGCTAGTAGCTAAAATTCAAACCTGGGTCTTTCAGGTATGTACTCATAGAACTATCCTGATCAGCCATACTGATTTCATTGCTCACCTTGAAAGCCTAAAGCCCTGAGAGGAGATGGGAGTTGAAGCAGAGTGGAAACCCAGAAAGTCTGGATTGTGACAGGTGCCTCTCGGGGACTTTAGGGCTTTGGCAGCTTCTGGGAGATGTGAGAGCTGATTGCTTCAGCGTCTGGCTTATCTGGGGCTACGCTTGGAAGGGAATGTGTAACAGACACCAAGGTGAGCATTTCGGAAGAAAAGGCTCACTCAATAAAAAGCCCCGGAGAGCAAACAGGGATTTCCATAACCACCTGGCAGAGAGGAAGGGCAGGAGTGGCGGCCAGCCTTCCTTAAATGGCCTTGCAGGGCTCAGGACCTTAGGCCTCCACTCCTCGGGGGACACAAAGGCCAGGATAGGAGGATGACCCAGTAGTCTCCTTCCCCAGTGAGCTCCGTGTAACCCTTGTCACACAAGTGAGTCATGGGGAAGTCACAGTTAGGAGTTTGAGCAGTGGGGGAGTGGGCATCTGGTGATGTAAGGTCATCCCAAAGAAGGTTCCATATTTGGTTTTTTTAAAAAGCCCAGTTTAATTAGGGAGCCAAGACTGTTTCCACCACCTTTCAGCACATCGTTTAGAAAGAAGGGGGAAATTAGTGTATTTAATCAACACAGGTGGGTTCCTGTGAGCTAGGTCAATCCATCAAGCAGCCAGAGCTCAGACGCAAAATATAAGCTCTGTTTGCCCAAGGCCAGGTGGCCAAGGAAGTAAAGCAAGGAAACCATGGGGTTAAAAGCCTGCTGCCCTTTTTTCTCACCATATCCCACATTCAACTTAAAGCTGAGTGTACTACTACCACAATACTTCTGAGATGCGAAACTGTCTAATAGCCTGGATTGCTCAAACCAGTTTGTACTGAGAAAAAGGAAAAATATCAGAAACTAAAGAAGCAGTTTACAGTTGTGTTTTTGTTTTTAAAACATTTTTCATTCTGCGGGGGTGACCAGTTAGCTCAGTTGGTTAGAGCGTGGTGCCAATAACACCAAGGTTGCTGGTTTGATCCCCACATGGACCACTGTGAGCTGTGCCCTCCCTAAAAGAGTCAACTATGGCATTGTAGCTGCAAAGCAATGTGTAACCAATGACCATGGCTATTCCCCAATAAAATTTAAAACAAACAAACAAACAAACCATTCTGGAGAAAAACCAATGCAATAAATACAAGGATCTCACAGGGCACAGGAATGACCCCAGCAAACTACCCCAAGGTCCCCTGAGTTCAGCCAAATCCTATTTGTGACACTGTATGGTCACTGATGGACAAAAAGTGACAGGTTCCTTGTTTTCAAACTCCCATGCAGCAAATTCTCTACAGAGCCAATGTTTAAACCTGGTACTAATGTGGCATCCCTCCATTTTTCTGGACTGTCCAAAGAGAGTGAGGCCACCTCCCCCCTGAGGTGGCCTGTGTGATTTTACCAGAGGGGAACTTCCGTCCTGGGGCAATTTCACACTGGATTGGTCAAGGGGACCCTGTAGTCCAAAAAGCCCTCCAAAAGTGAAACGTCAGAAAGTCATTGAATGGGTGTGGGTCTGTGGACATAAAGGGAATGGGAACCAGCCACACAAGCAGTTTGTGGAGACCACCTCTCCAACCAAGACCACCAGCTGCAGGCCCCCTCCAACTCCCACCTGGTCTGACTCATCTCCATCACCACCACCTCCTCCTCCGGGTCCTGCCCTGTCAACACCTCTGGTTCTTCCAGACATACAGAGAGGAAGACATCTATTTCACGATGGACACTAATTCCCCAGGCATCCTCTTTTCTTTCTTTCTTTTTTTTTTTTTTTTGAGATTACTAAGAAGAGAAGGGGACAGAGCAGGAGAAAGACCAGCTGTGGTTCCCTGAGAAGATTACTAAATTACTTTATGCTTCAATTTCCTCATCTGCAAAATAGAAATAACAATGGTGCCCACACTTATAAGGTTCTTGGGAAGATTAAATAAGGTAAAATACGTGAAGCACTTGCCCCAGAATCCAGTTCAAAAGCAAATAATTATAATAATTACATTATTAATAGGTAATACAATTATTATTGGTCAGACGTAAAAGCTTGGGGGTGGGGGATAAAAATCAGACTAACCCTAACCCACCCCTGGTGCTACCAAATGCCTTGGTGCAGGAAAACAAGAGAGACTAGCACTTGTGTGCGGACACTCCCATTTCTAACCCCTGACCTGCTCTTCAAAGCTGGGTCAACGTTTTCTCCTCCCAGAAGCCAGTCTTCACAGCCCACTGATACCCATTCAAAACATCCCAAACACCTGAATGCCCATGTCCCACCGTGCCCTCTAAGTAGTCCTGGAACATTCTCAGCAACCTGCGGGAGCATGCAACACGGAGGGCAGGACTGGAATGTCCCTGTGTCTCAGTTCATTCCCAAGTGCCCAGCACAGGGCCAGGCAGAACATCACAAGATGGGCCAAGTAATGGTGGATCCACTGCAAAATCAGGCAGACAACACTTCCTTTCTGACCCAACAGAAAGCTCCACACAACACAGGCCTCAGAAAAGCAAACATGTTTAATCAATCAAGGTGCAGTTTCTGTTTTAAAAAAAGCCGCCCACTGTTAGAACTGAAAAAAAAAATTTCAGACCATAGTGTGATTGGAACAGATTTTTCACATGGCCAAAGACTGGAAGAATGAACAGTGAATTCCCTCAGGGAAATTGTGGGTGATTTTTTTGTTGTTGTTTCAAAAGTGTTTCTTTTATTGTTATGATAACTCACCCAATCAACTAAAATCAAGAGGGAGGAGAAAGTGGTTTGGTAGGAAATAGGCACCTGGGAATCGGTGAAACCAGAAAAGAAACCAACCTGCCCTTGCTCTCACTCCTGGGCAACAGTGAAGCAAAACAAAGCAAATGCTAGAATTCTGATTATCACAACGATAAGGCCTAGAAGTACATATGTGTTCATTTTCGTTCCCTGAGTCAGAGCTACCAGGCTTTAAAAAAAAAACTATTATTCCTTTGGGGAATAGTACCTGTATCAAAATGTTTTCATCTCTGTGAGCAAAAGCCACAGCCTGGTAACTGAGAGGGCTCCTCAGTCATCCCCGAGTTGGTGGAGAATGGGGGCCTGGGAGAGATGCTAGTTCAAATTCCCATTAAGCTGGCCCTGGGCAAGTGGACTTCACCCTCTGAGCCTTCCGTTGCTCATCTGTGAAATGGGAATTACGACTTCCCTCCTGCCCTTCCCACATATTAGGTTTTTGCAGTCTGAAATGACAGTCTCTAATGTGGTCAGGACAATAGGAAACACACTGGAGGCCTCTAATAAACACCCCTCAACATAATTAACCACACCGGGATAGCCCCTTCCACCACAGTGCTCAATCATAAAAGCTTAGTTGTGTCAATTCCAAAGGTGTCATTTGAACCACGGAAGAAGGGACTTGCCCAATCCAGCCCAGGGGCATGGGAGCGCAATTTCTCGGACCTTTCCCACTTCCTTCCACCCACCCGGCTCAGGGACCCCGGCGGCGCGCCCTCACCTCTGCCCAGGACTCGGCCTCTCTCCAAGTGCCGCCGGGGCACCGTGAACGTGTAACTCTCAGCGCCAAAGCCAGGACGGCAGGGCTCTGGCTCCTGGCAGCGCCATGATGAGACCTGGGGTAGGGGAAAGGTATGAAACGGGGTGACCTGGGGGGGGGTCCCCTCCAGCCCACACCGAAACCGACAACGCCACTCCTCCCTAGCTCCCGGCGTCGGGCTTGTGGGAGGGACCCACCTCCCCTCCCTTCTACGCCGACGGGCAGGCAGCCACGCCAAACAGTCAGACCTGCGGCCGCCAAGCCCCCAGGAACGCCGGGGAGCGGGGTCTGCTGGGTCACCTAGCACCCCTCTCCTTCCCGTCTCCTTTTCAGTTTCACTGGAGGCATCTTGACTCTTCCCAACTCCACTTTCCCTTATACCGGGAACGCTCCCAACTCCTAAATCTAGTTCCTCATACCGAGGACGCTTTAACACCTTTTGACCCCACTTTCTTATCCCGAGGGCGCCCCATACCTATTTACTACCCTTTCTTTACCTGGTAGTTGCCTTTATTTCTATTAATTCCCGTTTCCTTACCTCAGAGATCGTCCCCACTACTTCTGGCTCTCCTGGGACTTGCACCCGGGCTCCCCTTTTCCATATCCCGACCGCCGCCCTGCTCCACGCCCCCCACTGCCCATACCGCGGCCAACCCGGAGTCCCTAGAGCCTGCAGCGAGGCGCGCCCCCACCTCAGGTACCTGTGGGACAGTGGGCAAACCGCGCCAGGTCCTCACCCGCTCCCACCTCCGCTGAATCCAGAGCGCCGCGCGGCTCCCAGGCCGCTCAGGCTCTTTGGACCCAAACTTTCTTGGAAGAAGAGAGAGCGCGGACGACAGGACAGTGGAAGGGACAAGAGAGGAAGGGACTAGGGGCCCGGTGGCGGATGGTGGGGCCGTTAGGCGTCCCCCGCAAAGCCAGAGGGACACGACGTACCTGCAGCAGCAGCAGGAGCACGGACAGGCTGAAGCACCGAGCGCCCATGGCGGGCCGGGCACCGAGCGCGGAGAGGCTGAGGCACCGAGGGCCCATGGCGGGCGAGGCTGGGCCGGGATAGTCTGGCAGAAGTTCCAGGAACTCACAGGTGCTCTGCGGCTCCCGACGCCAGTGAAAGGGGCAGCGCCTCAGCCGCCAGGTGAGCCGCGACGGCCCCGCCCCCGACACCGCTGATTGGCTGAGAATACACCTGCCGGCCGCAGCCAATGAGCGACGCGGATCGGCCCCAGCTTCCTCCGCCGGCAGGGAATGAGCGGCCCGCCCCTGATCCCGCCCCGCTGCCTGGCGTCGACTCGGCAGCCCGCTGGTTGGTACAGTCAGGGTTGGGGGCAGGGGCTCCAGGATTCCTATTACTACCAGGTTCGCATCCCAGCCTCGCGACGGGCGCTCACTAGCACCGGGGCTTTTACCCTTTATCTAGTTCTTTTTAACTGCAGGTCTCCACCGGTTTGTGAGTCTGCACATCAATTCACTGGGCAGGACCCACTTTTCTAAACCTCTTTCTCCACCTTCCAAATGGGGATATTAATCACAAATGTCTCCCTAAATTGTTGTGAAGTTGACATACAATTAATAAAACCAATATTTCCTCACCATTAAAGCTCTGTACAGATGTGAATGATAATAATAGTAGCAATAGATACTGGGCATTGAAAGTTACTGTGCCAGGCTCTGTGCTAAGCATTTGACATTGGTCATTCTCATTTAATCTCATCTCCAAACAACCCAAGAACTGTGTTATTATTCCCATTCGATAGACAGGCAACTGAGGCATAAAGAATTTGAGGGCAGTAGGAAATGGTGAAGGGCTGGAACCCAACCTCCTCTGATTCCAGGGCTCCTTCTTTTATTAGCTTCACCTCGTGTAACCCTGGATAGTCTTCAAGCTGGAGCTGTAGTTTTCAATCTGTCCCATAAATGTTGACCTGGACAAGACCCTTTAGAGATCATTCAAACCTATTATTTGCAAATAGCTCTTTCAGTGTCCCACAGAAGGTCAACATCAAATCCAAGACTAGAACCCAAGATCACCTGATCCCCAGACTGGGGCTCTTAACACCACACCATAGGCCACCACTTCTTTCTCTAGAAAATTCTATCCTCAGTAAAATAATTTTAGAATAAAAAAAAATAGACATGCAAATGTTTGGTCAGACATCTTCCCTGTCTGACTGCCAGGGGCCAGCTGCATCTATGTGTTTTGGCTACCCTGACAAAGCCACTATCTTTCCTTTCACCCTACAAGCATGGTCAGAACTACAAAACTGTGTGTGGAGTCAGCGGCTCACTAGCTGTGTGACCTTGGGCAAGTCCATGTTCTCATCAGTACAAATGTGTTGACAGGAGCTGATGCAAGGAAATCCCTAAGCAGAGTACTTGGCGTCTAGTAGCAACTGCTCAGTAAATGTTTGGTGTGGAGGTCATTCTGTGAAATGGACTACCTCCTATCCCCTTCTTCATGGGGAAAGTCACGTTTAGAATATTCCATCCAGAGCTAAAGGTAAATCAGCCCACTGAAGCTATTTTCTCAACCCCAGAAGAGAGGCGGTGCCTTAAACCAAGACATTATTTCGGGTCAGCTCAGCCCCCCATTTCCCCCGCCCCACACCTGACCCCTCAGTTTTAATGGGTTTCTGAGCACACGCCCAGGCCATTTAAATTTCTGCATCTTGTCTTTCTCTGCCTCTTAACCCACCAGGAGACTCGGAGGGAAAAGGCTCCGGTATTTCCTTTCCCACTGAGGCTCCTGCTGGACTGTGCATTAAACAAGATAATGGAAATACAGAAAGAGGTGTTTCCCCCATGGGGCAGCCTTGTCCGTTTGTTTTTTTTCTCCCAGTTATGTAAAAATACATATTTTATACCATCACTCATCCCAGGGAGCCTTGAGGGTTTTGCTCTCCTCTGTCCAGCAAGCCCTGGCCTTGTAACTCCGCAGCGACTCTCATCGACTCTTCCATTACACTCTGATAATTCAATAAAAAGGATTTTAGAAAACAATTAGGGGCAGTGAGGACAAGTTAGGAGAGATGTTCTCTTCAGACTTCTCGGCAAGTCCTTCTCCAAGCTCCAGGGAGTTGGGGTGAAGGGCTGCCCTCTCTCAGCTGTCCAAGGTGAGAAGGGGACACACAGAGGTGCCCTGTGGAGGTGGGACATTGTGTGACTGTGGGCCTCAGTTTCCTCTTTCATCAAACAAGGAAACGTGATCCTGAGGATCAAAGGAGCAGGCAAAGGTGAGCGTGTGTTGCTGATGTTGAGCTATGCGGCTGATGGCGTTTGGTCTCAGGCTGATGGAAGATTCCTGTTCTGCCACTAGCTGGGGAGCATGTCCCTTGACCTCTTCAAGTCACAGTTTCCTCATCCATAAAACGGGGGTCTTTAATTCAGAAGGTTCTTGTAAGTGCCCTAACATTAGCTGTTGGACCTCTTGGCTCAGTTCATTCCTTTCCCAGTTCCAGGCAAAACTGTCAGCACACCTGAAGCTTCCCCGCCCCCAGGGCTCTCCATTCCTCACCCCTCACCATTAAAGTCTCTTCAACTATCTCTGGCCTCTGCTCAGAAAAACTTTCACACTGACTGGTTAGTCATTTCAACCCTCCCAGGGCCATTTGCATTTTAAAGAGGGCTCTGAGGAGTGCTTCTTTCAAAGAATGAAAACTCTGGAGCTAGTAAACTCGGTCCAGGGTTCTTAACCTGGTGTCTGTGGATGGACTGGGCGGGCTGGGGGAGGGGGTCATGGAACCCCTGAGGCTGTATGGAAACCTGTTAGTGAAGGTGGTAAAGTCCAATGCAGTCATTAGCTTCTCACCAGGAGGGAAGAAATATCAAAATCTTCGAGTTGAGGTCTCTTTGAGGGCCCGTCTAATGTTAATGGTAGAATTTCAACAGGGAAAAAAAATGTTGACCCAGAGGCCTTGTCGGTGCCCCTCTAGGTGGATAACAGACCCTACCACTGGTGCTAACCGGGCACCCCCCCCTTGGGATGACAAACTCCAGGTTTCCTTATTGCAGGGTGTGTCTCTGACAGACTTTCACTTCCTGGATGTCCTGGTGACTGGTCAGTCAGGGGCTAATGATTAATCCCCCTGGGCGGTCCTGTCCCTTTCATCTCCTGACAAAAGAAGTACCCAGAATGGGTGGGGCACCTCTGCCCCAGGCTCTGTTGCGAGGAACCCCCCCCCTCCCCGCGGGCTGGGGAGGAATCCTAGGGAAATTGGAGTTGCTAGAGGTTGCAGCCAGATCAGGCTCACAACTGTGTAGGGAGAGGAAGATCCATTCTAACTGTTCCTGGGGGCTCCTGACACTTTTGCTAGGCCAGGCTGCCTGCCAACATGCAGGGGAGGGAACTGGATATCCCGTTTCTGCCTCCTGCTAAAATGATGGTAACTGATAGGGGTGCCACCCTTTATGGCTCAGCCACTCACGTCTGCAAGAAAACATTTTTTATTTCAAACACTAAGTAAAAGAAAATAGTAAAATGCATATCGTGTATAGTGTAATGAAACACCACATATCTATCCTGTAGCTCCAACAATTATTTTTTGTAATTTTTATAATTTTATAATTTGTAAACTTTGGAACTGTACCAAATCCTGTTTCATCTTTTCACCCCTGCATTTTTAAAAAATTAAGACTATTTTTTGAAGAGCAACACATTTGAGGGGAAGATTTCCTATATACCCCCTGCCCCACATATACATAGCCTCCCCTTCGGAGCTTTACATTTGTTGGAATTGATAAACCTACACTGACCCATCATAATCACCCAACGTGCATAGTTTACATTATGATTCATTCTTGACGTATATTCTGTGGATTTGGACAAATGTATAAGGACATGTATCCACCATTACAGTGCCATACAGAGTCTCTTCAACTACCCTAAAAATCTTCTTGGCTCCACCTGCCTGTTCATCCCTCCCTCCCCACGACTCATGTAAACCCCTGATCTTTTTACTGTGGCCACAGTTTTGCCTTTTCCAGAATGCCATAGAGTTGGAATCATAAGGTATGTAGGCTTTTCAGATGGGCTTCTTTAGCTTTTCATGGCTTGACAGTTCAATACTTCCCACAGCATCATATCAGGAAGCAAGAAATTGTCTGGTTGACTCTATTAGAATAACTAAGATTCAGTTGGTGTCAACTGATCCCTCCATTATCAAGTTCTCCATCAGCCTTTCACCTTGTGGTTTTAGCACCATGGATGATGGCTGTCCAGATCCATTAGCTCACTGGGCAAATAACAAACATTAAGTACCTTCGTGTGCCAGGCACTCTGCTCAACACTGGGGACACAGAAATAAACAAAATATGATCTCTGCCCTAAAGAAGCTCATAGGTAGGGATGCAGACAGGTACAGATTCACCCATTTACTTATTAAATATTATTTATTGCAGACTATGTACCAGACATTGTGCTAAATGCCAGTAATTGCAATATACAGTGTAATAAAAATGATAGCTACCATTTATTGGAGCTCACCATACTCTATATGGCTTCCCACCAGTCCTCATATAGCCCTTTGAGTGCTATTACTACATCCATTTTACAGATTTGGAAGCAGGGGCTCAGAGAGGTAAAGAGATTTGTCCAGGGTTACACAGTAAAAGTGACAGAATGGGAATCTGAACCCAGGGCCACTGGCCTCCAAAGACGCTTAGTCTCCATGTTGTACTGCTAAGGTCAGGGCAGGCTTTTATTTCCAGATGCCATTTGAACTGAGAGGCAAACTGCTTCATTTAGCAAGAAGTGGCCTGTCCACTTGACCTGAAATTGCAGACCTCACGGCAGCCAAGAGAAGGTAGCAAGAGCACAGCCTGAGCTACTATTGTTCAGCCATGCTGCAGCTTCCAGTGAAGCGAGGGGTGGGGTGGGGTGACGACGAGGGCTGGAACCAGAGGGCCAGGCCCTGGGCTGAACCATTTGGTCCTCCAGCCTACAGAGCAGAAGGTGCGCTTCTCCATCTTCCAGGGGAGGGAACTGAGGCTCAGAGAGACAAACAGCCAGGTCATAGCAGACGTAGGATTGAAGCTGGCACTCAGGGTCCAAGACCAGTATGATAAAATGGTTCCCAGCATGGATGGCGGTGCCTCACGGCCTGGGTCTGAATGCTGCTCTCCACCTGCTAGTTCTAAGCCTTTGGACGAGTCACTTAAACCTTCTTGGACCTCAATTTCCTCATCTGTACAAATGAGGATAATAATAGCACCTACTTTATTGGATATCTTCCGGAGTTAGGTGAAATAACCTAAGTAAATGTGACAGACAGGAAGTGCTAAATAAACATTAACTATTATTATTTTCACATTTCATGATGCTCAGGGGCTAGGGCTTTCCCTGAGCGGAGTCCATGGGCAGCAGCAGGCTCCCTCTGGCCTAACTCCCCCTCTCCTAAGCCCAGAGAGAGAGGAGGAGCCTGCTGCCAGGGAGTTCCTCGGCTGACTTGGTGCCCTCTCTGCACAGGTACCTTTGTACCTGGTGACTCAATAAAGACAGATAAGGTGCTGCAGAATACCTGTTGAGGCCCCAAGACTTGTTGCTTCCTGTCTCACACCTGTGAGCTGTGAAGGTCGCACACCTCCTCTCAGAGCCACGGACCCTTTATACACCTTTATACATCGGAAGGAGAGAGAAAGCTTACCTCCAAGTTTGACAAGACCAACCCTCTCCAGGCTCAACAGCCAATGAAATCACTCCCCCAAGTCAAAGATACTTGGAAACAAAGGGCTTTTGCTTTTTATAATTAAAATATTGTTTTATTTTCTTAGTTTATGCCCTTGAATCCTTAATGTGAAGCCTTCACAGTTTGATTTCCCTTTAAAAAGGATATTTTTATCAAATTTTAACACAACTTATTTATCAAATTCCAGGAGGTGGCTGGAGCACAGTGTGGGGGGTTGACCTCATGACTTCAAGCGAAATCTCTTTCCTTCCCTAAATCTCAGTTTCCCGTCTGTAAAATGACTCAGTTGGTCTGGGAGGATCCTTTCATTTTCTGCTGTCTCTAAAAAATTTGACGTTGAGCTTCTTAAGATTGGGAACTGTGTTCACATTTCCTTCTCTTAGGGGCCAAGAATTCTCATGTGAGTGATATTTACGAAAAGGTGACGCTGTTTTTTGCTATTCAGTTTTTAGACTCAACCTCCAGACAAAGCACAAAAGACTTACAGTTACAGAACAAAACGAAAATATGAATAATATTATACATAACTGTTAAAAATTGAGAAGGAAGCTGGGAAGCTTGATAGGACCTTATATCCTCATTCTCCAACAGTATTTCTCTGGAGAAGGAAATTTGGGGTGAGGGGTGAGTTCACAATTATTCATTATATTATTATGCTTGATAACTAACATATCTTTTTGTATTTCACATGTTGTAACTTTAAAAGATAAAGAAAAAGCAATAAGGGCAAAAGAAAATTTAAGACACAAGGAGTAAAAGAAATAGACATAGCAAAAATAAAAAATTATTTGGTCTCTCCCTCCACAAGTGCCAACTTGTTGTGACTCTGTTGAGCACTGAACCCTTTCTGGATAGATCTAAAATGGATTGAAGTGGAGTGGAGGTTGGCAAAGCAAAGGGATGAAGTTCTGATCCCTACTATAGCATGGACGAACCTTGAGAACATCAGGCTAAGTGAAAGAAGCCAGACACAAAAGACCACATATTATATGATTCCACTGTATGAAATTTCCAGAATAGGCAAATCTAATAGATTAATAGAGACAGAAAATAGTGGTTGCCTTGGGCTGGGCAGGACTTGAGGGTAAGAGGGAAATTGGGAATGACTGCTCATGGGTGTGAGGCTTCTTTTAGAGGGGGATGAATATATCCTAAGCTTAGATTGTGGTAAGGCGTGCACAACCTTATGAATATACTAAAAAACACTGAATTGAATGCTTAAAGTGGGTAAATTGTGCAGTTTATGAATTTTATCAAAATAAAGCTATTTTCTTTTTTTAAGTGAGGAGGGGGTTCTTGCTAAGAACAGTCTTAGGAGAGGGGTGGCTTTTGTAGCCCTATACCTCCCACTGTTTTTGTTTCACAAATGGAAAAACCTAGAAACTTTTCTTCCATGCACATATATAATTACAATAACAAAAACAACAACAGTAATAGTGGCTCTCATTTATATAACACTCAGGTGGCACTTTGACTTTTATTAGTGTATGTACCTGTATGAGAAAGATATTATCCCATCCTCTTGAGGACACCGAGAGGTAAAGTGATTTTCCATGGCTGGTAAGTGGCAAAGCTGTGACAAACCCACCATGTGCCAGGCCCTGTGTTCAGCACTGGCAACACAGAAGTCCATCCTGAAAACCACCATGCCCTCCACTGTCCATGAAGAATGACCCAACCACCTCAGTGCTAGGGTGACCAATCATCCCCATTTGCCAGGGGCAGAGAGGGTTCCTGGAGTGCAGGATTTTAAGTGCTAAAAACAGGAAAGTCCTGGGAACATCGGGATGAGTCAGTCACCTTACAATCAGTGGGTGGGGGTTGACTGTTCTCGCCTGTGCACGCGCATGTGTGTGTAGACATGTGTGTGCTCACCCACCTGTGGGTTCGTGAAAGGGGTGCGTCTTGATCTTCCCAGGCTCAGTAGCTCTCAGTGAGAGTCCAAGTTTTGTAGGAGGGGAGAGTGGAGCTGGCCAGGCTGGAGCCAGACGCAGCAGGTGGACGGGGCATCCTGGAAGGGTGGAGGCCTGCAGAGCAATAAAACCAGGGCAAAGAGCAAGGTTTCCATCACAAGCCTTGAAACAAACTCAACTCCAGACTGAAGATGGTGGAGAGGCCTATCATTTTCCAGAGTGACTCTCCAATTTTTCATTCACTTGCTCATCCATTGATTCATTCGGCAAACACTCAATGGGCACCTAGCATGTGCCAAGTGCTTTGCTAGTGAGAGAGGAGCCTCCCTGCCCTCAAGGAGCTTTCAGTCTGGTGGAATAAACAGGCAAAGGAACCAGGTATTTACGATCCAGGGCAATAAGCAAGGAGGATATTAATAATATTTAACTGGTAGAGCCTGGGCACTGAGCCAATCAAAATGAACACCAGCCATTAAGACCAGAGCAGGGTCCCCAGGTCCCCTACTGTCCCAGGCTTCACCTTTTTGTTTGCTGGGTGGTAGGGAGGTTTGGGGGTCATGGGAGGAGCTGCAGGTATGGGGAGCCCTTGAGGGGCTCAGGGAAACAGCTGATTATCAAATGATATGGAAAATTTTCAGTACAGTATTTTAGCAACTAGAATAGCCATGTCAGCGACCCTGGTTGGAGACCAGCCCTGGTGATAATGATTTGAGATTAACAAGGCATGTGATGGGGAGGCACAAGGGGCTCAGGGAAGCTTCCTGGAGAAAGTGACACCTAAGGTGAGTTAGCCAGAGTGTTCCTGGCAGAGGGAGGCGGGCTCAGCATTTCAGATAGTTCAGTCTAGCTGGAAGAAGGAGAGGCAAGAGATTAGACCCAACAGGCAGGTAAGGAAAGTGCTGGGGGTGTGGAGGGCTGTGTTAATCATGATCAGCAGCTTGGACTGTATCCTCAGAGCAATGGGGAGCCACTGCAGGTTTTTAATTAAGATCAGGAGAGTCACCTGATCCGGTCTGCAAATCCCCCAGGGGACACCAAGGCATCTACTTTTCCAAAGACAAGAACTAAGGTTCAGGGAGGTTAAAACCCTGTCAGATGTCATGCAGCTGGTTAGACATGGCAGAAAGGAAACAAAGCACCTTCTCCTCTGAACCCCATGTGAAACAGAGGCTGCCTACTTGTGTATGGAGCTTTGGCGTTTGTAAAGTACTTCACAGATTGCACAGCACTTTCCCATCCATGCTCATTTCATTTCCTACCACAACACTGTATTACAGGCAGTGACACCATTACCATTTCACAGTTGAAGAGACTGAAATACAGGGAGGCTTCAAGATCTAGTAAGGAGTGAGACCTTGACTCAAATCCAAGCCTTAAGACTCCTTATCCAGTGCTTTCCCCTCTACTATGCAGTGTCTTGGCATTTGTATCCATCACTTGGGTTGTAAATGCCAGAAATACAAATACCTAAGCTCTGGAGGGGCTGGAATGTGGAGGCTTATGTACTAAAAAAAAAGTTCATGGTAGATGGACTTCAGGCATGCATGGCTCCAGGTGGTCAAATTATGCCATCAGGGGTCTCTCTTATTCTGTCTTTGCTTTCCTCTATGTTGACTTTTTTCTTAGATTCTCCTATCAAGGCAGAGATAGGCTCCCAACCTACCAGTTTAGCAATCCCAGCCACAAAACACAATATTTTTCCAATAGGTACAGCAACTCTCAGGTTTCACTTTGATGCCCAGGAGGGTACTCACCTGGGGTGGGGGTGGGGCTGTCCTCTCTGACCAAGGTGCTCAAAATGGTGGCAGGCATGGTCTGACTTGTGCCAGCCCCTTGGGGAAGAAGTCCTGCCCGTCCGCAGAGCTAGCCAGCAAGCTCCTGTTCAGCTTGAAGCCTCAGAAACCACTTCCCTTATTCTGAACGCCAATTTTTGGGCTGTGCCTGCTGGGGCTGGAGTAGGAGGCTGGTTCCTCTCAGTAGACAGAACTTAGTCATGGTGTGACCTAAAAATCTAAAAAAGTATAAGAATAAAATTTCAAAAGCCAAGAGTCCAAAATAGCCTGACTGTGGATAGAGGCTGGGGAAAATTTACAATACATTGTCCCCACTTGTGAGCCTCTCTTTCCTCCGGCCCATTCCTGATGAGACAGACCTGTTGGTTGGACTTGCAGAACTACCCAAAAAGCAGAGCTGGGTAGTGCTCAAAAATACAGACTCGGGAGGCAGGCTGCTTGGGCTCAGATCCCAGCTCTACCACTTACTGCCTGTGTGCAAGTTACCAATGCTATGCCTCAATTTCCCCATCTATGAAATGGGTTTGATGGTGTAGTAGAGCCTCACGTTTAGGGTTGTCTAGAAATCAAGTGAGCTGGTACAAATTCAGACCAGGCTCTGGTACGAATAAGCAATATATATAAAGGGTGGCTATTATGTGCCACATTAGCTGCTTTTCATCCATCTCAGGGGACTGAGGGCTCTGCAGGGCAGGGCCAGGTTTCTCTTGTTTGTCACTATATTCCTGGTGCCCAGCATGGGGCCTGGAACAGAGCAGGCCAAAGCAAGTATCTGTTGAATAAATGAATGGTTGAATGGCTACTGCCACAAAAGCCAGGACTACTGGACTCCAGGACTACTGGACGGCTGTGTGACCTTAGGCAGTTGGCTTCTCCACTCTGAGCCTCAGCCTCAGCCTCAGTCCCTGTAAAACAGAGCAGACCAGTGTTGTGTAAACTTTTTCAGTCAGGACCCCCAGAAAGAAATGCATTTTACACGGTGCAGGGACATACACACTGAAATTGCATTATCACAATACAGCACTTACTTTCCTAATTTCCTATGTGTGATATACTTTCTTATTTCCTTCTGTTCTACTCTATTTTGTTCTTTTATTATTTTTTTTTAATTTTATTGGGGAACAGACATGATTATTGGTTACACATTGCTTTTCATGCTACAATGGCATAGTTGTGTCTTTTAGGGAGGGCGCAGCTCACAGTGGTCCATGCGGGGATCAAACAGGAAACCTTGGTGTTATCAGCACCATGCTCTAATCAACTGAGCTAACCAGTCACCCCTATTTTATTCTTTTTCATGAAAAATAATAATAATAAACGCAATCCTGACACAGTGAGTAGATTTGAAGCTTCTCTAACTGCTGGAGACCTACAGTTAAAAATACTGAGCCGAGTGGCTCAGTTGGTTAAGAGTTGGCTTAAGAGTATGAGCTCTGAGCAACAGGGCGGCCAGTTCGATTCTCACATGGGCCAGTGACGCTGCGCCCGAGCTGAGCTGTCACTGAGCTGCCAACAGCTGGCAGGATGGCTCGGCTGGTGTAACAACAAGATTGCCTGTTCAATGGTGAGCTATGCCCACCCGCAACTAAGCCTGAACCTGGCACCTTGAGCTGAGCTGCTGCCTGGATGGCTCAGTAGATAGAGCGCTCTTAACAACAAGGCTGCTGGTTCAACTCCCGCATGGGGCGGTGGCTACGCCCACCTGCAACTAAGATTGAACACAGCACCTTGAGCTTAGAGGCCACGAGCCACCGATGGGAAGCCAGATGGCGACTGGTGCCCTCCACAACGAAGACTGAACAGCTTGGCCGGTCCCCTTCCCCAATTCCCCAACACTGTTCCCCTCACCCAATTCCCCAATAAAATATTAAAAAAACAAAACACTGAGCTAGACAAAAGGCAAGGTCCTTTCTGACCCAGACATTGTGATGATGTTAGAAAGCTTGCCTAAGACACATCAGCTGATTTAAAACAATGGTTCAGAGCCTGGGCCCTGGCAGGAGAAAACTAGATTCAGATCCTGGGGATACTGGGCTGTGTTGATCTTGGCAAGTTATGTAAACTCTGGGCATCTTAATAAGATTGTGCTAAGAGCATTCCCACCTCTTAGGAGCGGTGTGAGGACTAAATGAACTAATACCTGCAAAGCGCTAAATACATCTAAACACTCAATGAAAAACTTTTAAAAATTTCATTATTATTATTGTTGTTATTACTATTATTATATGAAAGAACCTATGGAACTCCTTGTGGGTAACCTGGCAGAGAGGCAGTGCTCAGCAGATGTTTGTGCATTTTCAGAGGTTATCAGAGCATTCCTCTCCCTCTGGGGGAAGGAAATGAGTTTCCACGAAGGAAGGTTACTTGCCCAAGGTCACCAGCAAGTCCAAGACAGAGCTCTGAGGCTGGGCCTGGCAGGCAGCAGCTGTTAAGGTTCCACAAAGAGCTGACTCAGGAGATGGTGGGAAATACTCTTTCCTCACTGCCTAGAACTTCTCAGCTCTCAAGCCCTCTTCCTTTCTCTTTGGTTTAGCTCCCCCCTGCCATTTTTAAAAGTTAAAGTATGCTTTACATGTAGTAAAATCCACCCTTTCTGATGTACAGGTCTATGAGGTTTGACAGACACATGCAGCTGTCTATCCACCCCTCTACTTAAGATGGAGGACAGTTCCATGATGCCAAAAAATTCCCCTGTGCCCTTTGTAGACAGTCTCCCCACTCACTCCTAGTCCTCTGGTCCCTGGCAGCCGCTGAGCTCTTTTTTGTCACAGCAGTTTGCCTTTTCCAGAATGTCCTACAAATGGAATTATACAGTATGTGGGCCATTGTATCTAGTTTCTTTCACTTAGCAAAATGCTTTTGAGATCCATCCATGGTGTTGTTTATATGTATTTTAGTTCTATCTATTTCTATCTCTATCTCTATGTCGCTTAGCAGCATTCCATTGTATGGATATACCACAATTGTTTATCCATTTACCAGCTAATGGGCATTTGGGCTGTTTCCAGTTTCAGGCTATTATGAATAAAGCTGCTAGGAACATTCATGTCTTTTTATTTTAAAGATTTTATTGGGGAACTGGGGGAGGGAAACAGCATTGGGGAATCGGGGAAGGGAACAGACAAGTTGCTGTCCTTTTGTTCTTCAGTCTAGTTGTGGAGGACGTCGCTTCACTGGCCCATGTTGGTATTATCCTTGTGCTGTTCCCAGCTGAGGCAGTCGCTCACAGGCCATTGTACAGCCGCTCATGGCGGCTCAAGGCGGCTCACGGCGGCTCACGCCAGCTGCCAGCCAGCCCCACTGCAGCCTACGCTGTCACTGGCAACTCATGGCAGCCCAGCTCCAGGTCGAGCTGTTGTTCACCATCTCAGCTGTAGAGGGAAGTGTCACTGGCCCTCATGTGGGATCCGAACCAGGGCTCTGTTGCTCAGAGCTGGTGTCCTAAGCTAACTCCTAACCACCACGTCACTCGGCCAGCCCCCATGTGTCTTTGTATGAACATGTTTTCAGTTTTCTTAGGTAAATACCTAGGAGTAGAATGGTGGAATCATATGGTTAGTGTATGTTTAACATTCTAAGGCATTGCTAAACTGTTCCTCCAAAATGGCCATGCCATTTGGTAGTGCCATCAGCAATGTGGGAGAGTTCTAGTTGCTCCACATCTTCTCCAGCAAGTGGTATGGTCAGTCTTTTAAATTTTAGCCATTCCAGTAGTTATATAGTGGTACCGTATTTGCCGGCGTATAAGACGACCCCCTAACATTTCCACTCAAAATACAGAGTTTGTTATATGGTCGGCTGTGTGCGATTTTGCGAGTGTGGTAAAATCGCATAACAGCAAAATCGCATAACAGCCGAGCATACACCCAGCAGTGCTGCTGATGCCTGAACGGTATGTGGAATGAAGTGGGCGGGCATCGGGAGGCCACTATGGCACGGGGCAAGCACTATGGGCAGTCTATCTGAAGTGTACCTGGCGTATAAGACGACCCCCCACTTGGAGGCATATTTTTCAGGGCCAAAAAATCGTCTTATACGCCGGCAAATACGGTATTTTATTGTGGTTTTAATTTGTATTTACCTAATGACTAATGTTGAGCATCATATATCTTCCCTATTTTAAAAAAAAAAAGTAATAAATATCACAGTAGAAAAAATTTTTAATGCAGAGATAAATAAAAGAAGAAAAATTCAAATAAAAATCACCTATGACATTTTGAGCTATATCCAACCTTTGTCTATGCAGACAAACATAATTGTATTTTATTTATTTATCTGAGTAATTCATGCACCTGTTTCATGTACCAAGTTTGTAATTCATGTACCAAGTTTGAAAGGAATGAAAGGGTAAGTTTTAAAACTAGTTGTGGCCATTTTTGTTGCACCTCCCTCCACTGTTGCAAGACCCTCCCCCTCCCATGGAAGTAACTTCCAGGGGATATAAAGAATAACATTCATTCAGTTGCCCAAATTAAGAAGTCTAACTAAACCTGGTGTAGCAGAGAACGTGGGGCACCAACAGTTCTTTGATGTGCTGGTGGTAGCGTAATGAACAATTCTAGTAAAACTAAACATTCACAAACCCAACACCCCAGAGACTCCATTCCTTCGCATTTAAGCAGAGAAGACATTTGCAGCACGAGACACATACAAGAATATTCGTAAATGTATTATTCATAAAAGCAAAAATCTGGAAAAACCCAGATGTCCATTGACAGGATAATGGATTTTTAAAATGCAATCTATTCATACAATGGCTGAATGCAAAGCAATGAAAAAAATGAATGGACTGCAGCCACGCACACTAGCATGATGAATCATTATAACACGATGTTGAATGGAAAAACTAGTTCCAAAAAATTCCACACATAATGATACTCTTCTTATAAAGGTTAGAAAAAACTAAAAGTACACAATATATTATTTAGACCATATGTATATATGTGATCATCTATACCAAAAAAGCAACGGAAGGAAAAACACAAACATCAGGAGATTGGTTGCCTCATGGGGGAATGTTCGAGAAGGATCCCTAAGTAGAGATAAGGTATCATTACTCCTTGGGTTGGATGGAGAGTTAAAAATAAATGAATAAGTGAATCAGATTGAAAACTGGGCATGTAGAGGCCATTGATACAAGTGTATCATGAATCAGGAATTATGGGTAATCTAATTCTGTGTATGGGAGGTGGATTAAACATTAACAAGTCTTCCTCTCTGGTCCCCCAGCCACTTCTGTTCCCCTTTCCAAGGGCAAGTACTGATCCCGTGTCCTGTGTATCCTTCAGGAATAAACTCTCTCTCTTGACCTATTCCACAGAGTAACCTGTGGTTTTACTCAATACAGGTTCATGGACAGCCTATCATGTCAATAAATACAGATTCCCAAAAGCATTTTAATGGCTGTATAATTTCCCACAGTTTAGATGCCTATATTGTATTACGTAAATTAATTCCCATTTTGGTAGACCTGGGTTTTTTCCAGTGTTTGTTCTCATTTGCAATGTCATGAGGTATATATATATATATATATATATATATATATATATATATATATATATATACACACACACACACACACACACACACATACACACACATGCACCAGCAGGAACAGGCCTATAGGATAAATCTCTCTAAGTGGAGTACCTGGGTCAAAGATGATGTGCTTATTTCAGGTTTCTGAGCCATATATGAGTTGTACCCACCAGCAAGGAGGGAGATGACTGTCTCTGAGGTCTGGCAGCAGGCCTCGTACTGCGAGGTCTTTTGTTACTAAAGCTACTCCCAAGGTTATTCATCAGCAGAGTAATGTCAACCATTCCCAGGACCTCCCTGTGGGGCAGCAGGAAATGGGGTGGCTTCTAGGGCAGAGGAGAACAAGAAGTCTTTATGAAAATACTATTCAGCAAGAATGCTTTATTAGTACAGATCTTGGCCTTGCATTTGGGCAACTCCCTGCACGCTGGAGTGGGTCTATATCTCCTGGGGGGAGATGAGCAGGAGTCCAGGGTGTGCTGGGCTCCTCAGCATTGCCCCCACTTCCGTTCACTCAGTTATGCAATTAATTATCAGGCAGTAGGTAAGAGCTGGCGCTGGAGTTAGATGGACTACACTAAAATCCTTGTTCTTCCACTTCCTAGCTGACTGTGGGCAAATTTAGAAGCTCTCTAGGTAACACTACCCACCTCATGGGGCTGTTTTGGCATTTATACGAGTTAGTACACATAAAGTGCTCGGAACACACTGGACATGATGAGAGTGCTCTACAATCGTTCACTATCGCCAGGAAACTGCCCTGGGCTAGGCCCACAGCCTCAAGGTGTCCTCAGGCTGGTGGGGGAGATGGACAGGTAAAGAGACATTTACACTTCAGACTGATGAGTAATGAGGGTGTTAAGGAAATTCTCATAGGGGGGATGCCAAACCTGGAAGGCTTCCTGGAAGAAGTGACGTAATGGCAGGAACAAAGTCTCTTGTAGACTAAAGGAGAGGCAAAGTGGCTTTGAGAGATGAGAGACCAGCCATTAACCCCACTTACTGGAAATGTCAAGATGGGATTCAGAGAAGATTTTCAGTCTTGGATTTCAATTCATCAATTTCTCAGCACCTGCCTGGGTCCTGGGTGCTGTGCTCAGTGCTAGGGGTGAGAGTGTGGGCTGGATTTAATAAGGCAGTGACCCTAAGATCTAACTGGGGAGATGGATGTGAAATGCCTAAGAACAAGACTCTGATGAGATCTACTAAAGGAAGGGAAAACATGTCAAGGGAACAATTAATTCTGACATTCCCAGGACTGTGGAAGGCTTTGCAGAGGAAATGCTTGTAAGAATCTATCAGATTAGAGGAAGGATGGGGTGAGAAGGAAAGGTACCCCAGGTAGGAGGAACAGCATAAGCAAAGGGGAGGCAGTAAGAAAGCCCATGTTCCAGGAAGGGGGCTGTCCGGTGGGGCTTGTGGAGCTTGTACCTGGGAAGAGGTGAGGGGTGGGCAGGAGTTAAGGCTGTAAGGTCAACTGAGGCCAGGGCTTGGAGGGTTCACGTGACATGTTACATGGACTTCATCTAGTAGGTCATGGGAACGGAACAGAAGTGTTTAAGCAGAGAAGGGACATGATGAGATCTGTGCTCTGGAAAGGTCACTGTGGCACAGATGGGGGAGGAGTCCTTGGGAGGCAGCACAGCTTGAAGGCGACTGTAACTATCTAAACAAAAAACCTGGTGAGCATGGAGAGGATGGGTGGAGTAACTGAAACATTTGAAATTGAAAATCAAAGCCCTGAAGTTATTCACGGGTGGCTCATGAGTTGAGATGTCTAATATCCCTGGAAAAATAAACCTGCTCCTGACCCTGCCCAGCAGGAGTAAGGGCAACCTGATATGCTTGATTAGGATGAGGGAAATGTTTTTCTCTTTATTAAGGGTCAACTGAATTATTAAGGGAAATGAATAAGAGTGTGACATATAAAAGTGAAATGACTTGATTTTATTGTTTTTTCCTTAATAAAACTAATGCATGAGATCAACATTTAAAATATTTCTCATGAGTCATAAGTAAAGGGTAGTCCACCAAAAACAATCTTGACTTCATTTCCACAGAGACATAGAGAGGGAGGGCGAGGAGAGACAGAAGGGTGTGGAGATCTCAGGAAGAGGAGGAGGAGGAGGGAAGACTGGCCAAGGGGAGTGGCGGGGCCAGCAGGAGAGGAAGTGGGAAGATGGCATGGAAAGGGGTTGATGCATGGGGCCTAGAAGTGGACTGTGTAAGAGTCTTGGAATTGGGAGGTCCTGAGTTCAAATCTCCGCCATGTTTGCCCACGGTTCTTAGGCCTGATTTCCTTACCTGCCAGACGGGGATCATAACATCCTTGTCACATGGCACAACGAATGTTATTGGATCTGTATCTTAGAAAGAGTAGATTGCTCTAGTCACCTGGTTAGAGTGGAATAAAAGAAAGTGCTCTGCAGGCTACCTGGCATTTAGAAAGCTCTTAAGACAAGGGCGTCATCATCATCATTATTATCATAGCTTTACTTACGATTTCCTTTTGAAGTTCTCATTGGCCACGTGTTATTCACAGCTCTTCAGCTGCTCTTGCTGAAACCTTTCTAGACTCATTGATTCATGGGGTTACCTAGGATGGGGGTGGTCTCTTAGCTCTTCAGTACTGGGGTTGGCCTAGTGGTATCCTGCTTTCTCCATCCCCAAGCTTTCTCACTGCTGGGCCTGCCAGGAAGCAGCCAAGGGTGGATGGGGTAACTTGTTCCTCTTACCCTCCACCCCTCTACTGCCTGGCTGCTCATGCGAGGACACAGGCAGAATGCCTGAAGCTCTCTCCCTCATGCCCCATACTCAGGCCACGCCCTCAGCTTTTACTTTTCTCCCCGGGAAATCACCTCAGAGAGGAGATGGGGAATGTGAAATAAGGGACGTGAGTTCCCTTCATGATATGAGGCCTACCACTTCTCCTTCCCTCTTCCTCGTCCTTCCCCTCTAGCTGGTCACAACTTCCCTCTTCCATCTCTACTGGGAAGCAGGACAGAGGCTGTGCGAAGCTGGCACCCATGCCCCTCCCTGCCAGGGTCCCCTGGCCTGTGTGTAGTCCAGATCTCTGTCCAGAACCCCACACCCATATAACTTAACTGTACCTGAATATCTGCACTTACATGTCCCCTAGGCACCTCAAAATGTTCCAAATACAGGCATGGTGAGAGCCAAACTCATCGTTGCCCTTCTCCGGCCTGCTCCTCTTCCTGTCCTCTTGATTTCAGAAAATGGCACCATTATCAATCCGGCTGCCCCAGGCCAGAAACCCAAACATTTTAACCTTAATTCATTCCTCTCACTTACTGCCCACATCTGATCAACCACCAAATCCTCTCAAATATTCCCGAATCCACCCACTTCTGCCCATTAGCCACCATCACCTTTGTCCCAGCCACCATCATCCCTACTTGGACGACAGCAATGTCTTCTGTGCTGGTTAATTCCCCTTTACCCGCTACATCCACTCTCCTCCCTTCTCCCCGCTGCTCTGTGCCCCAGGAACCTGACCCTGTGTGCAGTACTGTCCCTAGCTCCCTTGTATTCTAGCTTTCAGCTGGTTAAATGGAGGAAAGGAAACTGAAAGAGATGGGACCCGGAAGAGAGAGAGCTCAGATTTCCCCATCCGCTCCCTCCCAGGCTCAGGTCTGGCAATGGCTGCATTCTGAAACCTACGACCACAGCTGGCATGTGGACCCTCCTCCATGGCTTCAGCTCTCACTGAGGTCTCAAAGGTAATTTCCTCCCCTTGCCCTAAGGCCTAAGTGTGGTAATGGCTTCCCATTTGCTAGTCCCAGGGTGGCTTCGCTATCCCTTAATGGTTACTGTAGCCCAATGATTCTCAACCAGGGATGCTTCTGCCCCCCTGGGGACATTTGGCAATGTCTATAGACATTTTTGGTTGTCACACCTGGGTAGAGATGCTCCTGGCATCCAGCAGGTAGAGGTTAGGGCTGCTGTTAAACATCCTACAATGCACCGGACAGCCACCCACTACAAAGAATTATCCCTCACAAATATTAACAGTGCTTTAAGGAATCCTGCAACTCTACCCACCATACTGTGAACATACTCCCATTACTCCACTCAGTTAATTTTTTGAGTTTACCTCTGTTTCTGCCCTCCTGCTGCTTCCTTCCAACAGGGTCAGAAATAGAACATCAGAGCTGTCAATGCCACTCCATGAACAGGGATGGGGACTGGACCGATGGAAAATATTGAGAAGAAACTGGCTGGGTCAAGCATAGCTCACCATAATAGTGACTGTCAGGAGGGAGTGAAAGGGGCCTGAGGATTAGTAGGAATAAGAAATCAAGATGGAGAGATAAAAACCACCAACAAAATAAAAAGACATCCTACTGAATGGAAGAAGACATTTGCCTATGATACATCTGTCAAGCAGTTAATATCCAAAATTTATAAAAAGCTCACACAACTCAACACCAAAAAAACAAACAACCCAAATAAAAAATGGGCAGAGGACACAAGGAGACATTTCTCCAAAGAGGGCATACAGATGGCTAACAGATATATGAAAAGATGCTCAATGTCGCTAATCATTAATGAAAATAAAAACCACAATGAGATATCACCTCACACCTGTCAGAATGGCCATCATCAATAAATCATCAAACAACAAGTGTTGGCGAGGCTGTGGAGAAAAGGGAACCCTTGTGCACTGTTGGTGGGATTGTAAATTGGTGCAGCCACTGTGGAAAACAGTATGGAGGTTCCTCAAAAAATTAAAAATAGAGCTACCTTATCACCCAGCATTTCCACTCCTGGGTGTTTATCCAAAGAAATCCAAAACACCAATTCAAAAAAATATATGCATCCCTATGTTTATTGCAGCGCTATATACAATAGCCAAGATATGGAAACAACCAAAATGCCCATCAATAGACAATTAGATAAAGAAATTGTGGTACATATATACAATAGAGTATTACTCCGTCATAAAAAATGAAATCTAACCATTTGCAACAACATGGATGGATCTAGAGAATGTTATGCTAAGTGAAATAAGTGAGACTGAAAAAGACAAACACCATGTGATCTCACTTATGTGTGGAATTTAAAGAACAGAATAAACAAACAAAACAGAAACAGACTCATAGATACAGGAAAAAAACCAAAAACCTGACGGTTGTTAGTTGGGAGATGGGTGAGAAAGTAAAGGGATTAGAAAATACAAATTGGTAGTCGCAGAATAGTCACGGGGATATGAAATACAGTATGGTGAGTAACATCAGTAATGTTGTAAAGATTATGTAGGGTGCCACATGGGTACTGGATTTATCAGGCAGATCACTTCACAGACTGTGTAGATGCCTGACCACTGCTCTGAACACTGAAGCTGAAGTACAATAATATTGAAAGTCAACTATAATTAAATATATGGTTACGGGATGTAAAGTACAGCATAGGGAATATAGTCAATGGTATTATAATAACTATATATGATATCAGAGGGGTAGTAGACTTGGGGGGGTTATCACTTTGTGAGGGGTGTAAATGTCTAGTTATTATGTTGTTTTGTACACCTGAAACTAATACAAAAAAATAAAAAATAAAAAGATGGAGAGATAAAGGAACACAGGGGATTGTCATAGCAATGAGATTTTGGCTATTAAATGTTGGAGCAGTGGTCAGATCAAGTAACTTTTTGGTAGTCATAAAAAAATAAAAAATAAAAAATTAAGAGGCAATTGTGGCCAGCTGAGTGGCTCAGTTGGTTAAGAGCGCGAGCTCTGAGCAGCAGGGTCGCGGTTTGATTCCCACATGGGCCAGTGAGCTGCACCTGTGCTGAGCTGCCGCTGAACTGCCAACAGGTGGCAAGATGGCTCAGCTGTACAAGGTTGCCAGTTTGACTCCCGCACAGGATGGTGGGCTGCACCTCCCCGCAACTAGATTGAAAGCAGTGACTGGACCTGGAGCCGAGCTTGTACCCTCCACAACTACGATTGAAGGACAACAACTTGACGTGGAGCTGATGGGTCCTAGAAAAACACAGTGTTCCCCTCCCCCAATTCCCCAACATTGTTCCCTTCCCCAATTCCCCAATGAAGTCTTAAAAAAAAGTAAAAAAAAAAATTGAACAAGTAAGAGGGAATCTATTGTCAAGCCCCACAGATACTGCTCCTGTCAGAGAAAAGACAAAAACCCTCCTGAACCACATAGCCTTCCATTTCTTACAGGAAATCCAGCTCCACTGTAATCTCATGGGACCATCAGCATATATGCGGTCCCGCGAAACATCTTTATGTTGTGCATGACTGTAATAACAACTACAAAGATTAATCTTTACTGAGTACTTGCTATGTTAAGCACTGCTCTGAGTGTGTGACATGCATTAACTTGATTGTTGGCAGCAACTCAGTGAGGCATGAAAACTCTTGTTATTCCCCTCTTAAGGATAGAGAAACAGATACTACAGAGAGACTAACTTATCACTAATGGCAGAGAATGACTTGAACCCAGGCACTGGGGCTTCACAGCCCACACTCTTACATATGCTGCTGTGCTGTCTGCCATTCTTGAGGGCTTCTCCCCTTTTCCAAAGTCCACTGTGGCTCCTAATTGCCTCCAGCCCAAAGCCTCTTCCTTTGTCGTCCCTCCTCACTCTGCCACCCTGGTGCTTCTCATCACTTCTCTCCCAGCCACCCTGGTCTTGTCCCTTCAGGCTTGGGTTGATTTTCTTTCTACTGCATTGGTCCCCCCAGAACAAGATGTTAAGACCTGAACCAGAGTGGGCTCTCCTATCCACTGGCTATAGCCACCCTCAAGGCCTCAATTTTCTCATTTGTACAACAGGCTGATGGCAAGAGAAAGCATGGGACTCTTCCAAGTTCCTTCCTTTTCATTCTACAATTCTAATAAATCATTGTTTTCCTGTCTCTCTCTTCCTTTCTTCTAGCCCCTTACCCAACTTCCACACAACCTTCAAGGTCAAATCAAAGGGTTTCCTCCTTCAGGAAGCCTGCCTAGATTTTCCTGGTCCCTAAAATTCCTTCTCATTCTTCCCTGAACTGTGTGTAACCGTTAATACCCAGATTAGCACTTAAAATTCTTCTTTCACTTTCTGGATGTAAATTGGCTCTCCTCAAAGAAAGTGGACACTCTTTGAAAAAACCTATAAGATAAAACACAGAGCACGGATTTAAATTTTCCAGCTTCATTCTTTGAAGTACTGCCTTCACTGTTTATGTCATCCCTGAGTTCTACCTTCACTAATCTTTACTTAACATTGTTTCTTTAAATAGACTCACTATTTA